ATATAAAAGGTAAAATTCGCTCGAATCTGAGATTTGCTGATCACAAGACAATTGCTCTCGCACAGAACCACGCGTTATCCCACTAACTTTTGTATTAGCTTTTCTATTATGCTTGCTTTTCGTTTGAACAATAATCCATGTCTTTGATATCTCTTTGGCATATTTTTATTTTCCATCTGCTTTCAATAATTGTGTTATTACTGAAGATTTGTATATTGCTTTCAGTGGTTCCACGTACAGTAAAGTTCCGCAAGAGATTAGTCTGGACGAGAGTAACAAAGGCCATCAATTACTCAAGAAAATGGGCTGGAGTGGTGCTGGTCTCGGTGCGAACGAGCAGGGCATTGAGGCGCCCATATCCGGAGGCGAGATTCGTGATAAGAACGATCAATACAAAGGAGTCGGCATCAATCTGAACGATCCGTACGAAACCTTCCGAAAGAACAAAGGCCAAGCGTTCATCACCAGGATGAAAGCCAGAGCGGAGGAACGGGCTGAAGAGAGAGGGGAACGCGACTGAACGTTTTTAACAAAATGACAAGACTCCAAATGTTTACGACACTTTGTACGGGACACGTGTCCAGCATAAGACATTAAAAACGTTCTCGTTTGTGCATTGGAAATCCATTTGCAATTTCAAGAAATGATACTATCGCCTATGAGGGCTGATTTCAAGGATCGGCGTACTTTTTTTTCTCTTTGACTCCAAAGCAGTTGTCTTTCATTAATTCTGAATCCCCATTGCACATGTCACCAATTTTAAGCTATCACAGGTGGACGCTGATTGTTTTACATTGAAACCGCACTGATTATTTTTATCAGGAGCTATCTTAATCGCAATCTTACAATTAGACGACGAGTATGGGGTTAAATTGTACATTTTTAACATAGATAAAATTATGAATGTGATTAGGATTTGTTTCAAGTTTAATAATGCGTGATCTACGAATGATGAAACAAATACAGAATCTTGTTACACGAAAGTTTGATGAAAGAGATTAACCGGATTTGGAATTGCATAATCTCGTATATTCTGAAATTATTTAAAAAGATCAAGAAGCGGACAATCAACGTCCGTCGGCAGAAACCTTCGGTCCTATTTAATATATTAATTCCATATATTAAATTCCGTTCCATTTTCATCCATTATTGGGATGATAAGACGACACGCATCTCACAGCATGTATAAGAAGTACATTCGTTTTGTGTCGTGAAAAAAGCATGGACGTGAGAGATTAAAACACTTGTATTTAGTAAGTTAACAAATGATTATATTGGATACATTGAACGATAGCTCAAGAATAAAAGCTGTACATTTATTACGAAAGCGAATGCGAACTATCGCTACCGCACTGTCTCCTCTGTTTCCTCTTCCCGACTACTAAAGAGAGAGGAAAGAGCGTTTGAAATCGGTTAATCCCGAAATCAAAATTTCATTGATATCACTCGCCGTTATTTACTTTTGACAATAAACTAGGCACATGCACATTATATAAAGTAACTTTATATTTACAATCATATTGTTTTATTCGCCCGATTTATGTATCTTATTCGCTTTAGATTTCAGGGTAGAGTTCTCTGTAATTTTACATGCATTTTTATGTATTTGTATTTTAATATATATTTTTTTTGCTTCTCTTTATAAATGTATTTATATAGCACAAAATTATAAATAGAAATCTATCCTGAACTCTAATCCAAACTACAGAGTCGTCCAGAAAGTACCGAGCGGTCGTTTCTGACCGTTTCTCCATAAGGAAAATTCAATAAAGATTATTATATTATTATTATAATACCCTATTTCTCGTACAAAAGATAGGATTCTAAAACTTTATGGCTTTTCATCAATTAAATGATTAATGTCAAAATTTCAGAATCCTATCTTTTATACAAGAAACTGTATTAATCTAAAAATTAGAAACGGTCAGAAATGATCGCCGGTACTTCTGGTGTCAAATAGTTTGTTTCTTCCGCTACACAGTCTTAATTTTATCGTTCATACTTTTTCTTCGCGCTGTTATAATCTGATCTGTTAAAATTTGCAGCAGCTCGCGTTTCGTTCTCACGCCTGTAAAATCTTCGACGTCGCGACAACGAAGCCTTATATAAATTGTCTCTCGCGAGCTGTACGAGTATATTTAAGAGTAGGAAGATAAGGTGACGCGAGACAAAACTGTTCTAATTGAAAGGAGAATATCGCGCGGCGTAATAGAGCGTTCCTCGACCGCGCGCGTAACAGGCGTCTCTCCTTATCGCGCGTCACGTGCGCGCACGAGTCCGAAGAATGGAAGAAAAAAGCGCGGCCGCGGAGCCGTCGTTTAACTGGCTACGAACGGCTCGGCGAGCGACCGGGTACAAGTTAATCGCGAGTCGCCTTCTTGAACTCCCCCAGCGGCAAGCTGATATCAAAACCGATTGAATCCAACGGCGAACCGGTTTTCTCGGGCGACGATAAGCGGCGGTCCTGCCGGCCGTCACGTCGAGACGAGACGTAAACAAAGCCGGACGATCGGCCGGCCATTTCGCGCCGCTCATCGCAGCACCCGCGAATTCTTTTCGCCGTTCGCGCGAGATATAGCGCGAAAGTTGCGCAGAAACTTAACCCGCTGGCCTGTGGCCTTATCGCGCGGGGCAAAAATTAATCTTTCGCGCGCCGAACGGACGATATGTCACATTTTCGCGAGCGAAACATTTTTAACGCCGAAATAAAATGCAAGTTTATCGGCGAGATGCGTGTGCACGGGGAAATTTGTGCGTGCACGCGCTCGCGTGGGCGTGCGAAAAATCAAATCGTTATAAACTAATCGCAATGTTTTTTTCTACTAATTCTTTTAAGATTGTTGTCACGACGTCTGAATTAACATTTCCTTACGATTAATATTTATGTACCGTGATTGACAGAATCGCGACACTTTTTATTCGTAAGATAATTTTATATTTATGTACAGTGATGGAATGGTTGCGACACTTTCTTCAGTGAGTTTAGAAACGTGCATTTGGATTCAGAGTTACGTTCCGAAATCTTCTTCTCCGGGGAATATTTTACTCGATGGCCATTCCGAAATCATTTTGAGCGTTTTCGATCTATTTCTAGAGTAAACTTTTCCTCAGAAAATATGTTTTAGAACGTAAACCAGGGAGTCAATTCTGTATATTACGCTATAGTGAAAATGCTGAAAGCGAGTAGCTTTATTTCTTACTAACTGTCCCCTTAGAAAGACACAAAGCCGCACTCTGAGTATTTTTACTATACATATTGTATGATACCCAGTGAGAACGTTAATGGCGATTCGACGTTAATGAGGTCGAAACCGCGTCCCAACCATCAGTTTTTCGAAAATAATTAAGTTTGGAACCTAATTTTTTTGTATTAAATTACTACGTTCAACGTTCTGAATATTTTTAACATCTTATTGGAGAGAGCGTTAAGTTAACTTATTTAATATAAGAAAATAAAAGTTCCAAAACTTTTAATTATTTTCGAAAACTGTTGGGATGCGGTTTCGATCAAATTGACGTCGATTCGACGTTAGTGTTCTCACTGGGATATGGAATTGACCCCTCGAATCTAAATGCGCGTTCCTAAGACATTAAAAAAAAGTGTCGCAACCATTCTGTCTGTAAATATAACGAATTCGATTGCTTGCACTAGTGCGGACTGAGTGCACATTAAGGCCTGTTAAGGGCCTGAGCAGAATGAACTGTCTTGTACTCTTAAAACAATGTTTTATGTTTTATTGTATATCTTTAGGCCTGAGCAGAATGGCTGTCTTGTATTCTTAAGTCATAAGACAGTTATTGTGCGTTACTTTAAGGCAAAGATTTAAAACATAAAACATTGTCTTAAGAATACAAGACAGCCACTCTGCTCAGGCCCTTATAGTCCATTTTTATATTTAACTTTGTCTTAAACATATGTTCAAAGAGTATTTAGCAAAAAAAATGATACGTATGGATGCTATACAGATTATTTCACTGGCTACGAAATATTTCAAGAAATATTTAAGACGATTCTTAAACATAAAAATTGACTGTAAACAAGCCTTAGTGGGCACTCAGTGCGCACTAGTGCAAACAACCGAATTCGCTATTAGATTATCTTCCGAGTTACATCTCAGCCAGGATGTTCCAGTAATATTGCAGCAATGTTGTAACATTTCAGTTATATAACAAAAATCTTACAACATTGGCGTGATGTTCTCTGTTGACCTGGATAGGACTTGACTCTGCTGATACACTTTGTACGGAGGAATTCTGGAAAATGGCGACAAACTTAAAGGGGTGATAGAGCTGGTATAGATAGTTAAACAACTTTTATTATCTTTTTTTGTCATGTCCGGCGACGTTTCTTCGACAAATCAGTTTTTGTTTATAACAAAAGAATGTAACCTTGCGCGATTTTCAATTCGAGAGTCGACTTACAAGAGGTCGGATTTGATTGAAAATGATTTTACGTGCTACAACTTTTCAGTGTTTGACACCAAACACTGTTCTGCAAAGTTGGGTTCTGTTGAAGTTACTCGAGAGTGACTGAAAGTAGATTTTATCTGTTTATATTTAGATTGCACAACTTTGATACGTTAAACCATGCAATACCGGAGTCTGACATGCAAGAGATCAGGCGTTCTTCTATCTCCCCGCAGATAGGCCGTTGAGGAGAGTAAGTTTTAATACGTAACGATATACCCTATCGTATTTCACAACTTAATCTACATCAGTGTCGCTTTTCCCGTGACTGACATTGCTGAAAATTTAACCATAGGACTAAAAAGAATCTAACGATTTTTCGACCACGTATTTCGTTGTTAAGACAATGAAGTGGAGGTAATTGCTCTCCCATACAGCACAGAAAGTTAAAATAATGTTGCTAAAACGTTGCAATGTTGAATGTTCAAGTACAAATATCTTTTCTACGTTGAATCTAGATTAATGTTTGTACATAAATTCTTTATATCGCTGCAACGTTAAAACAATCTTGAACAAATTATTATTTTTTGATACGGTTTGCAGCAAGAGTACTAGATTTGGTCGACCGCAAAATTTTTATTTCCGGGAGTCCCTTTTTTTAAGGAGAGTGGGGCAATTCGAAGGATTGAGGTGCCGCGAATCCGTCGCGATTTCGTCCCGAATCGCACGTGCGGTCGACGTCTCTCCCGTGCGTGTCAACGTACTCGGCGCGCCGGTACGTGCAGGCCGGTTCCCAACGTGATTGACACAATTGACCGGTCCGCGGGGGAAGAAGACGCGGTCGCGGGAACGGTCACGTTCGGTCGTCGGGTCGCGCGTGATCCGGGGGGAATTCCTCGAAGCGGCCCTGTCGGGCGCCGCTCCGCGGAGCGAAACGTGAGCGGTCCGTATCGGAAACCCACGTTTCCGCCGCGATCCGTTATCGGCCGCGTTATCGGCGTTATCGCGCGCGCGAAGACCGGGGCCGCTCACGCGTTCGTGAGAAACGTGCGATAGGGGCGGCGGCGCGGCGCGGTGCGTGCGCGACGCCCGGTGTGACCGTTGCGGCACGTTCGGGGCAAACGTGACGCCGGGCACGAAAAGAAATATCGGCCGGCGCCGATAAGAAGCCGATTACGTCGACGGTTTGGCTGGACGCGCGTTGATGGACGGTTGGGGAGGAGGGGGGGAGGGGCATTATTCCTGGAACGTCGCGGCTCCGTGGCTTCGCCGCGACCGCTCGAGTCGCCCGTTCACAGAAGTGCGGGATAAAAATTGCCGCGTCGCCAGACAAACGTCCTACCGAGAAGCGCTATCTGAGAGAAGGAGAAAAAACCGGAAGCGACGCGTCCGCGATAATTTCGAGAGGAGACTTTTCGAGGGTCTCTTGTCTCCGCGAAGCCGCGTCTCGTTCAATTTTTCCCCCGTGCGCCGGCTCGTACGGGGGAAACGTCTCGTCGCGTCGCTCCGTTGTATTTTTATTCAGGAATTTTTATGCCTCCGCGTTGGAATCGGAGTTTAAAAGAAGACGACGGAGCCGGCGGCTCGCGAGGGAAGGAAAAAGTCGGTCCGCGATTACACGAGCGCTCGGGAGCGAGCGCGCGGTGCGGCGCAAATTGACATTTCTCGAAGGGGTTCAAACTGCTCCCTCTGACCTTTCGCCGCGCATCATTAATGAAGCAGATATCTAATTTTATGGTGCGTGCTATGATACGGCCGGCAATGGTGGCCGTTTTATCGCCGGCTATTTATGGTCGCGCGCAGAACAGTTTCTCACGGAGAGCTAATCTTTGCGACCTCCAAGGCGAATGTAGCCTGCATAACAATGCCATATAGGCAGCGGCTCTATATGCAGCCGACACGCGTTGTTTCCTCCTTCAAATAAATAGACGGGACAATTTTTTTAATAGACCATTTTAATTGCTTTTTAAAAATAATTCCAATCGATACGTTTTAATAGAGACGCGGAAACCCTAGTAGCACACAATGCATTGGCTAAACATTGGCTAAGTATTGGCCCAATGTTGGTTATATTAGAAATGCATTGGCCGATA